CAATTTCACTAGTTATGAACCTGAATTAAAACTTTGTAGAGACACATTGTGGTACAGTCAACAGTGGTAATCAACAGTGTGCTATAGGAAACATTTTCCTTCAAGTTCAAGCACGAGAAAATTAGAAGGGCTATAAATTGGAAAAGACCATTGTTTGACCCAAGGATCTCATCTTATCTAAAATAAACCCTTGGATTGTGCTTCAACAGTATGGTAAGAATCTAGAATCCAATATGCCCCCAGCTCTTTCAATGGTTCTTAAATAAATAGACATTTAGATGTTTATTATAGACACAATGGATGTTTAAATAGACATTGGCAACTTGGATTGAAAATGCATGAAACTAAAATTCAAATATGTCTACATCAAAATCTATATCTATTTGAACAAATTATAGACTTCAAATGTTTTTTTAATTGGAAAGCAGCACCTACAGTACATATGGTGGGAAGTAATAATAGGGGGAGTCTGCCAGGTGCTGTGAACACTGGGATGAAAGAAACAAAGGGGATGTGGTCTATTTTTAGAACTGAAACCAATGATAAAAATAAATAACATGCACATGTGTAGAAACCTCAAAAACCATTAAGGTATTGAATTATTTTTAAAACTTCTTATCTTTAATAGCCTCACAACTTTAAGACACCTGCATATTAACAAATTTGAAAAACAGTCATTGAAACCAGCTAGATCTGGTGTCTTGAGTGAGATTTTTGCCTAATTGGTTGCTGTTGGACGTTCAATGGAAATACTATATAAATCTGTTTGCAGCACACGGCACTGTAAGTCCTCAGTACTCCAAAGTGCCACAAATGTCCCTTTCTGTTGGGTCTGCATTGTAGTGCAGAGAAGCTTGGTAGTAGTTTGCTAACTGTGTTATGGGCTGGTGTCCTGTACTTCTGGGCTAGGATCCAGCTTGCTGAACTCGGGAAAAGTGATCTTCTGATAACAAATCGATGGTTATGTACTGTACAGTGTGTTCTATGTTCCATATGGTGTGTATACTCAGCTCTAGCTGAGCTTTGATCTTCTCTAGCAGAGCCAGAGGTGCACAGGCTGCTGTCTCCACTAACATCAAAGAAGAATACTGTAAAAAAGGCGAGCCTTGTAGCTGGGCAATTGTCAATACTACTAGGAATCCCAGGAAGTGATATTTTTACAGCTTTACATAGAGGATGGGACCCACATCATCATCCGCTGAAGTGTACCTATCCCCAGCCCCATTACTCAGATGTGTAGAAGTAAGCAATTTCATTAATACAGTATGGCTTAAAGAAGGCCATACTGCACAAGCCAAGAGAGGACTTTAAGCCAGGACACTAAAGTTAATGACACTCCTATTACTCCTGTGAAAAACGCTGTTGGATCTTCAATAGCTAAGTAGGTCTCTCAGCCCAGTACTGACCCAGGCAGCCTCTCTTAGCTTCTTAAATCTGACAAGGTGGTAACACTATTGTCCATCTCATTTAATGTTTGTTAAATTCATGAATTATAATATGCATATAAGTGCAGGACAGTACATTGCTGCCTTCATATACTATGTACATTTCTAATGGATATTTTTACAAGGTGAATAAACATAAGATAAAGGTCTAGAAGTAGACAGTGTGGGGAAGCTATACCAAGGACCAAAAAGTGCATGGATATACACTACAGATAAGAGAGTACATTAAATCAAGAGAGGTTATGTTAACTATATACAATGCACTAGGTGGTGTTTTTTTTAGAATTTTTGATCACCACACAAAAAGACTGAGAAACCAGTTTAAATCTGGTCTAAAGAGAATATCATCATGTGATTAAGGGATCTGGTATCATCAGATCAGCAATGATCTGGGGATACAAATATAAATTTGAAGTTGCAACATTCATGACAGCAAATGTCTATTAGTGCAGGAGGCTGTGAGAGATTAGAACCAACTCCCTAGCCACATTACAGAAGCTGATGTTGTGAAACCTTTTCAAAAATGGTTGATGTGATTGAATGATCAAAAAGGTTACTAACAAATGAATGAGGCAAGATGGCTTTCGCATGTTCTTAAATGTAGACATTATACCAACCAAACTTAGCTGTCATTTATGAATAATTTCCTAAAATTTCAATTCATTTTGTTTAATGGCTATACTGTACATTACTGCTATAATTTTTGCACCAGATGGATCTGGAAACTCATTTGTACTTTTTCATTCTAATCCCAAAACAGGTATGTCTGAAGTGTGCTAAAATTCACTTAAGGCACTTATCTTTCAGTAGGAAATCTGGAGTAATATTCCTGACATTCAGCAGCTCAACTAGAGTATTATAAGAAGGTTTTGATCACCAAAGGCTTTGATGCGGTTTAAAATGATAGAATCCTTAAAAAAGAAGCAAACCTAGTTAGCTTGTTAGACTGATCCAAATAAACAAATAATGTTCGGCTTCAGTGAAGACTGTGAAAAACCTACAAATATGTACAGTCTGGTACAATCTGAGTCTTAACAACAGCACTAACTCTAATCTTTCAGTAACTCTCCCACTGTTTTTCAAGAACATTTTTTTTTTGTTTCTGTCTCACTATAGTCGATACTCTTAAGTATCATAATACTAATAATGTGAAAAGTTTGGTACTTGGAAATGTGTTGATTTTTTTATATGGTGCAACAATCTTCCCCTAAAAGCTAAGCCCATGTCTTTGTTGCTATTAATACGAGATATACAACCAATAGTCCATTTATTTTCTTATAAAAATAAAAAATGCAGTTATACAACACTGAAAGCAATATTTACAATTTGACAGTGTTTTTACACATAAATCTGAAACAAGTGAAAGCCATTTCATACAAACGGAATTAAAAGAAAAATGAACATACAGATTAACCAATCAAAGCAGAAACACAGAGGGGTGTCCTTGGTACACTCTTAGTTTCACAAGGCTGTTATCACAACTGTTAAACGGTGTTAAATACTGTACAGTCATGCTTGAAAGAATTTGAGATTTTTTGTTTAACCACAAAATACTTATTTAATCAGAATGTCACTTCCTAATTGAAATAATTATTCACCAATTTGAGTGTTTTGAAAGAAAATGTCCATGCAGCAAAATAATACACACAGTATTCAGAAATTGAGCAGTAACCCTTAGATCTCTGACTTACATCAAGGTAAAGCAGGATCAGGTGGGTCAATGACAGAGTCTTCACAAATTAACCGGGATAACCAATGAAACTGAAGATCTGAAATGGTGTTAGGGAAGAGCAAACATAAATAATTGTAAATAAATGTAAGAAATGGGTCAGTTACTCTTCCTATTAGTTTAGCCTCAAACTAAGGAAACATCAGCAGAACTAAAAAAAAGTAGTGGATGCTAATCAATCTGCACAAGGTTATAAAGCCATTAAAAAAGATTTGGACTCCAAAAATCCACTGTTGGGCAAAGAGTATACAAGTCGAGGGCATTTAAAACAATGGCAACCTTGCCAAGAGGTGGACATCCTCCTAAAATTTCACCCAGGGCCACAAGAAGAATGATAAAAGAGGTAAAAGGTAATCCTATAATAACATCCAGAGAGCTACAAGCCTCCCTAGCTGCTTCTGGAGTAGTGGTGCATAGATCAACAATAAGAAGAACCCTGAACAGAAATGCCATCTATGGAAGGGTCCCCAGGAAGAAGCCTCTTCTGTCAAAAAATAACAAAGCTGCCCGTCTGAAGTTTGCCAGAGACCACCTGAACAACCTTGAAGAGTATGTTCTCTGGACAGATGAGCCCAAAATTGAACCATATGTGGACATAACAAAAGGGCCCATGTTGGACAAAGAGCCAACATAGCCTACCACCAACAAAACCTTATCCCTCCTGTCAAGCATGGTGGTGGGAGTGTCCTAGTATGGGACAGTTTTTCTTACTCTGGCCCTAAAGAATGACTTAGGAAGAACCTGACCTGAATCCTATTGAAATGCTGTGGCAGGACCTGAAGAGGGATGTTCATGCAAGACATCCTTCAAACCTCACAGAGCTGGCAGAGTTTTATAAAGAGGAGTGGGAAAAAATCCCTCCAGCAAGATGTCAGAGACCGATAATTGGTTATAGGAGGCAACTGTGTGAAGTTATTGCTGCTAAAGGAGGTGCCACAAGTTATTGACAGGAAAGGGTTAATTTACTTTTGCACACAAGGTACCCTTGGTGTTGACAAGGTATCCATACATTTTGCAATGTTCTAAATTAAAATTAACATGATCTTGCAGTATATAAAACCTGATAAACCACAATGGTATATGATCTTATTTTAAAACCAAATAACCACAGACCAAAAAATTGCAATCTGCTGTCAATGTCAATTATTGGTCTTCAAGTATGGAGTAGCATTTTGTGTATTAAGACTGCTACATTTATACAAATGTACAACATTTGTTATACAACTGTTATACCACAGTGCATCCTTTTTACTTGAACCATTGGGATTTACTATAAAGTTCATCCTTTAATTTTTTGAGTGAGAACATTGGAATGGTGTTAAATCAACACATTACGTTCTGTCTTGAATATCTAACACCCAGGCTGAATTAAAACCTCAGACAACTCAACCAGCATTTTCTTAACACTTCACATAACTGATTTCTGTTTCAAAAGCTTCTTTAATCCTCTTTTCAAGTTCAGGATTAGAAGCAGTGACCGATGGATGGGTTGAAATTCTGATTTAATCTCATCTAAAACCCTAGTTTCGCATTGGTGTTGAACTGAATACAAAGTGCGCCTTTTAAATACCAAATTTGGCCTCTCCTAGGCATTGTAAGCATTTTGTAATAGAGGAACCGAAAGAAAAATAAATCATTCTTATTGTTCAGGTCAAAGCAGGTAGCAGAAATGTTTCAAAAGCATATACAGAACCTACTGACTGCTGTTAAATAGAAACGCCCAAATGCCTGAGGCTCCGAGGGTTTATCGTAATTTACAAAGCCACTGGATGTACTGCTCTGTATTGCTGCCAGCTGGACCCAAAATAGGCAACACTCTTGTCATTGGACAGGTTTTTTTAATATGCATAATAGGTACAGTTTGAGTTATTTACTCACTCTCAGTGAAACCTTTTTTGTCAGGAAAGACGTCAAAAAATAAAAATAAAGGAAACAATAAGGGAGTTGGACTCTCATTATAGAGTTGCTCAATGCTCAAACAAAAACTGGACTGATAACACAGGCAATCTGTTGATTCCAGGCTCGTACTTCTCTTTAGTCTTTAGCATGTAAAGAAATTTAACTAAAACAGAATTTTACAAATAGTAACTTTTGTCTTTCCAATGCTAAAAAAAGTGTAATAAAAGTGGAAAGAACCAATTCCAACACTAGTACAGACATGTACTCCATATTTTTAGCTTATATTGATATTCTGTTAAAACAATTTTTAAAGGAGATCAAATGAGCAGGGGAAAACCAAAAATTAGAAGCCAATCAGCTATTTTATATAATGATTGTCCTGGATGACCCTCTCAGGATTTTTTAAATTTTAAGACTGCTTTTAACAGCAATGCCAATTTCTCCAAGTATTAATGACTGATTCCCAATTTAATTCAGTGCATTGTAAAGCCAATGTGAAATCCCATCCCATCTTTGTTTGGTGATTATGGTGTCAAGAGGCAACCGTATGTGCTTCTGCATTTTGCCATTTCCCTCACACTTGAAGGCTCAGTGCAGCCAGAGAGTTCCAGACGGATGTTATGAAATGTTTTAATTTACTTTTGTACACTAGGCTACTGTTAAATACTGTATATTTGGTAAAAAAAAAACTAAATAGCACTTGTAGTTGGCACTTTGAATGAAATTTCTCCAGCAGTTGCCAAATAATGCAAAATAGTTCTCTGAACTGAATGTACTTTGATAAAAGAAATTTACTGCAAAGTGGCATCATCCACCATTCAGAACAAATGGCTTTATAACAGGATTTGGAACTGCTTCTTATTTATTTTAATGCACTTATTTTAACAGAGAAAAAAAAGACTTTGATGTGGTCACATTTGGTCCTACTCATGCAATGGACTAGCCTAAATACAGAAGTCATTGCCTTCATATTTAGCTATGTCCTCCTTTTAGCCTTCAGAAAACCCATCAATAAACAGTCTGCAATGGAGAAACATATCAGCCAGGGAGGCTTATGGCACTAACTCACTGACCAAAACATTAGGAAGCCTATCTGACTATTGGACTATACCCAATGCAGCCCATTGTCTCACCATTTATCCAGCAGGATCAGAGAGTAATGAGGATAATGACCTGTAGAATTGAACTACAATTCCACCAGTTCCATCCACTTTCAACAAGATTGAGAACAGAGGATTGTTTTAGCCAGAAAAGATGACTGGAAGACAGTCCAACTTCTCATACCCAATTTTGTATTACCTGCCATTAAGGGAACATGTTCTTGACCAGTGAATATATTAGCCTGCCAACTGGACAATTCCCGCTTTACAAAAGTGCAGCTTGCTGGTCTTATAAAAAGAAGGTAGCATTCTCTACCCTGACAAGAAACACCAGCACCTTCACAGTGGCACTCAATATGCATATGAAGTATTGCTGCAGAGAATGTGTCACGTGTCTTACAAAAAATGCTCCAAGGTAACAAAAAATCATAACACTTTCTATGGCAGGCAAGGAAATGTCCACACATTACCTTCAGCACATTGTGATTTCACAGTTTGCTCTGTAATACTGAAAAAAATAGTGAATAGTTTGTCTCACAATTCAACATATAAGACTGCCTTGGTACAATGTGCAACTGTGTACAGAATGAGAGCAGACAAAACTCTATTATCCACCAGCAGCCAATGAAGCACCAAGGGTAGAAAAACTATATTGTAAGACAAACAGGGATGAAGGCCCAACCATGCAAGTGCAGTGTTGGGGTTGTAAACCAGCAGTTAAGGCCAAGAGGAGGGTATCGGGTATTCTCTACCTTGCACAGGACTTGACAATCCTTCTAGTTGGATAAAGGGATCAACACAATCCTCGCCAATGGTAAAGGGGATAATCCAGTGTCTATTTAAAGATCTTTCCCCACTTCATTGTGAATAGGGAAAAAAGGACCTGTGTCCATGAAAGACCAGGAAAAAAAATGGAAGCCCAGACCAAAAGACAGGTAAAGCCCCTGGGAAGTTATATTGTAGTATCTAACAAACACATCTGATGCACACTAGCCATGTTAGTGTTAGCCTTCTGTACACACTCTGTTCCACAATTTTCCTAATATCTGTGGTCAAATATATGTAAATACTCAAATGTATTCTTTGGATTATATGAATGACTTCTACCAATCTAAGAAAAGGTCCTCCACTTTTCTTAAAACAAACTGAGCTCAGTTTCAGATTCAACAGCTGAACAGGTGGTATGCTCTCAATACAAGGCTTTTCTTCTCCAGAAATTGTGCCTTGCAATTTTTTTTAAACTTCACAGTCTACAAGAGTTCTCCCCTTGTTCTGCTATGGTGCTCCTGAGGCTTCCATCAGATCCCTCCTGTCCAGAGCTGATCCCAGAGTCGCTTTCACCCTGCTCTGTATTTAGGTCTCGCTGCTCCATATGATGCAGGGGCAGAGTGGTTTCTACAGGAATGACCTGCATGAGTTCACCAAACGGCTCCCTCCGGTCCCCAAGGAGTATCAAGACCTGAGGCCCTGAAGACATGAAGCCCTGGTAAGTAAGCAGAAGAAAGAAGGTGAACCAAATGGAATTTTACTATGAAAAACAAAGTTTTACAGTTCCTCCTGGATTTACAACACAATTGCAAAATGTAAGCTTAAAAAGATGTCCAACATTATTTTCTAAGGTACTGTATCTCTATTTAATTTTTCTTGTGGAAGGTATTTCATATTTTTGAAAAGGATGTGCAGTTTAGTTTCAGATGCAAAAATTTATTATACTTCCCTGATTTATTGCTTCACTCTAAAAGTCTGGAATAGTGAATATTGGGCTGCTGTCTTTGCAGAAGTTATAGGACTCAAAAGATAAATATTTTATTGAGGTTAATTAACTTCACTGTAATATTGTTCAGACAGCCATCTAAAAGAATAATTATTCAACTGTGACCACATTATTCTGACCTTAGAGGGTGGAAATATGTTTTTAAATTACTGTTCATAAAATAATCTGGTGTCACAACCTGATTCTTAGATTTTAATTTTTATGCACTCTTCCATTTACTACACATATGATCAACTGAACAATCAGCATTTTGATTTCAGTCTACACCAAAAGGCCCAAACTGAATTCAACACTACGATTAGAACTCTGTAATATTTTATTCTCCTGTGCATCAACACCACTAAAGAGGATCACCTGACGCTACAGTATATGGCACAACATAACTTAACCTGACATCCATTAATAGCTCATTCTTAGGGCTGGGTACACAGCTCCAGTCCTGGAAAGCTGTAGTGATTGGATTTTCATTTCCTATTAGCTTTAATAACCAAGGTCTACTATTAACTGGACCGATATTCTACTTCTCAGAGGTCCTCAGCTGTTGAAGATTTGAAAGTATTTTGTCCCTTGATAGACTGGAGATGTGTACCAATTTGTTACAACACCATTGTACCTATAATTTCATGTCATTTGCCAAACTGCTTTATACCATACAGTGTCGTTGGAAGTCGGAGCCTACACGGCAAACAATGTTCACAAGGCAGGGTACACCCTGGACAGGGTGCCAGTCCATTGCAGGGCAAGTGCAAGCCAATCATACATGGAGACAATTTGGAGGACACGGTAAAGGCTGAGGGGGGAAATTTGGCCCGGACACTGCGATAACTCCCTACTCTTATCGAGAAATGCCCGGGGATCTTTAATGACCACGTGTCAGGAACTTGGTATAACATCTCATCCGAAAGAAGGCGCCCACTACAGTATAGTGTCCCCTCCACTATACCAGGGCATTAGGACCCACACAGACTGCAGGGTGGGCACACACCCCACCCATCCCACTAACACCACTTCCAGCAGCAACCATAGCTTAGAGGTCTCTTATCCAGGTACTGACCAGGCTCAACCCTGTTTAACTTCAGTGGGTTGCCAGTTGAGACCTGCAGGGTATTATAGCTGCTGGTCTGTACCTATAATAATACCTATTATATTACAGAATAATCACAAAAGAGCAATTAGCAACTGAAACCCAAACAGTCTATGACACCCCTAGATGTAGATCACCCTAGAAGGACTCTGAAGAAAACACACACACACACACACACACACACACACACACACACACACACACACACACACACGATAACAGCTGCCCTGGGGCAGGACATACCTGTAAGCTGTCTGGAATCTCATATGGTGGACAGAGGTGTCTCATACAGCTGTAAGCCTTATAGGTGGCATAAGAGAACAAAAGAATAACAATTCCCACTATAAGGAAGAGCACTGGTAGCTGCCAGATAGGAGTATGTCCTGTTAGGGAAAACGGACAAATATTAAGTCAATAAAAAACATAAAATACAACTTCTCACAAATAACTAGTATTTAGATCCAACAATATTCCTTTTGTTTAAGAGATTATTCTCAGAACTAATCAAAGTTCTTAAAGACCATCCTAGAAATCATTTCACCATTTTTCATCATTCATTTTTAAAATTAATTAAACAAAGCTATGGCTCATAAACACATTTGCCCAATATATACTGCGAAGCAGTGTGGATTAGTGGTCTGGGCACTGGATTGGTAACTAGGTTCAAATCCCAGCAGCTATGGGGTAAAGCACTAATGCACTAAACTGCTCCAGTAAAATACCCAACTGTATAAATGTATACAAATCCAGGTCACTTTGAATAAATGGATCTGCCAAATTAATAATATTCAACAAATGCATAAAGCATACATGTGAAAGTTTCATTCAGTACAAGAAAACAAGGGCACCCAGAACAGTTACATTTTGCTTTTCTAACAGTCCTGCATAAACAGAAATACTTTGGGGAATTTGCATGCAATTTGTCAGATGATCGCATTTCTACCCAAAATGATCTTTTTTTAAAAGTTTTTTTTACAGTTACCTAAAAATGGTATAAATAATCAATGAGCCTCACAGTGCTAATTTTATTTTTTCATGCAGCATAAAGAAAATGAGACCTTTGCAGATACAGTCCTGATACAGTGGTCTATATGAGTATCTGCTGATACAATATGTTCCACAGCAGTCCTCCGGCCTGAGACCCTCTGCCTGGGGTAGCTCCTCTGCATAAGAAAGCAGCTGCTCCAGTTGTATCACATTCTCACCCTGACCTCTGCCAGTGACCCGTAAATCCTTTTCATACTGACATGCTTAATCCAGGTCTCTATCTGCTCATGTAGATTGAATAAGCATTTTCATACTACAAACCGAAGTAGCAGGGTTAAATCAAGAGTCTCAGTGAGCCATGTGTGTAATAATAACATAGAAGGAGCTTTATAGACTCATTTTCCAAAGCCTCTGTTCTGAAGTTGACCTGTGTACAGGATTGTCCTCTTGTGTAATACTGCTTTGGCTGCCCTTTCAGAATTTGTTTTTGGAAAACGCTTACATTTAAACATCTGTGGACTGAACTGCTAATGTTAACAGAAGTGAAACAGTTGCCAGATTGTTCCTAGGAGCAAAAATGTTTTGAAGATGAAAAGTCAAAGAAACCCAGCATAGCTCACCGAGACTAGAATTAATTTATCTAGCCATTTTCTGAAAGAAGCCAAGATAGTTGGGGTTGGCTTCAACAACATAGATGGGTAGCTTGTTCTATACTCCCACAACCCTTTGTATAAAGAAGTGCCTCCTGTTCTCAGCTTGTGAATGAAAACAACTCGGGATAGAATTTGACCAATAGAAGGTGACCGGGGCAATATCCAGATTGGGAGAGATATAATGTATAGGAATGTCAGTGGCCAAAACCAAAATACTGTAGTAGACATTGTTAATGACTGCTTGATTACCCAGTTTGACAAGGCACCTAAAAGAAGCAAAACTTGTATTGATCTTTTCTTCTCAAAAGATCAAGATAATTCTATTCCAGCAGTCACTCAAGACAATGGTAGTACCAAAAGAAGGACAAAATAAATGAAGAAAGCAATTCCAGACCAATAAGTCTGATTTTTATTACATTATAAGTTTATGGAAATTATTATTAGAAATAAATTAAAGAACAACTACATCAAAACAAGATCTCAGGGAATAGCCCAGTTCATTTTTAAACAAGGAACAACAGTAATGGGTGTCTCAATTAAATGATAACCTGATTATATACATAACACAGAGATATAAGATATATTTGGAATATTAAAAAAATGTGAGAAAATAAGAGAGCTCTCAGATTTGGCTCCCATCTGAGCAGCAATGACTCAACACTAAATCAACTAGATGTTTCTTGTAACTCTCTGTAACTCCCTGTAACTCATTCCTGGCGCCTATCTGTAAGATTCTTGGGAACATCTGGATTGTGGTCCTAGATGTCAAAGGTCATTATGACTCATTTCTCACCTTGACCAACCTGTAGGGTGTGTATACCCCACGTGGAATGCACGCTAAACTTTCAACCAATCATCAACTGTGATGGCCAATCACGTGACGGCCAGTGTTGTCTGTTTAGGGACTGCAACCTTGTTTCAGCAAAGTGTTGGCCCGGGGAATGCCCATACATAAATTGCTAGCCAACGCAAACGTGGACGCTTCACTTGATCACCTGAGTATACGTTTGGACTCTTGTCGACAACCTGAATAAGTTTTTATACAGCAGCAGTGCTACACTGGGAGCAAACTGAGTTTCTTCCCCCTAAAGAGTGACTCGCTCTGACCTGCGGTCACCCTCTGTGCATACAGACTTTCTACTAGTCAGCTGGACTACTAGTAGGTCCCTGAAAGAGACACTGTCAGGCGTGTCACCACAGCAGAAGTCTCTCCACCTAATTCGTCTGACTCCGAGCTGCACACCGACTGGGTGGCAAGGAGCAAGAAGACGCCGGGACTGAATGCCACAGCAATTGGATGCAGCCGGTAGCTGGTCTTGGAGTCCGTGCCGGAAAATACAAATCCATATCTGGATAAGTAAACCCAATGTTCTATATTGCATCTTGAGAATTCAATTGTTACCTCAACACAAGTTGATTTCAATTCAATTCATATGAGTAATGTATTTACTTTAGAGTAGCTAATGTAGACTGATTAACGATAGTATAGCCGAACGGTATACTGAAGCATATTCTGTGTTTGTATCTCTTTGTGTTTTGCATCTCTTCATGATTATATACCTTGCACTTTGATCACAATAAGATCTGCCACCAATCCACTACACTATCCAGGCAGACTGTTATATGTTTCATGCACAATTTATGTATTAATAAATGTATCTCGTTTATTGAATCTGTGAGTGTGTGTCGCTGATCGATTGATTTTGTAAAAGAACCACCACGTGATTGCTGCTACCAGACATCATTTAGAATATTGCTTAAGAATTTTGAGACCACTTTATAGAAAAGACATTGCTGCTCTGGAATTAGGCCAGAGAAGAAAAAACATACAGTATACATCTTAATGAGGGGCATTAAAGGAAACATCCTGCAGGCTGAAAGAACTAAAACTGTTCAATCTTAAACAGAGAAGACTACGAGACAACGAGAAAATCCTCAAAGGCATCGACAAAGTCAAGCCTGTGAACCTCTTTAGAATATACAGTGAAACACAAACCAGAGGACACAAATAGAAACTACACAGAAATGTACTTAAAACTGAAACTGAAACTGAGAGACATTTCTTTACCAAAATTATTGTGGGAACATGGAAAAAGGTACTCAGCCATTTTGATAAAGCAGATAACCTGGCTTTAAGAAGCCAGAAATGGCTAGTGGACATCCTTGGATCAATTAGCTAATAACTACCAAAGGAACAAGATGGGCCAAGTGGCCTCCTCTTGTTTGTAACTGTCCTTATGTTCTTACTGTAGACTTGTTCTCTATCTCCAATCTCCAAATGTTTATCTTCTTTTGAGCTACCTAGTCGAATACAAGCTGGATTTGGCAGGTACAAAATACTTATTTAAAAAATGGCAAAAATAACCATTGTGATTTCTACACCTCACACATCTTCAAAAATAAACGTGTATCAGAGATAATGTCCAGTGTAGCATGACATTTCCTTAAAATACTTTTTCATGAACAAACATTGTATCTCACATAAAGTACAAAACAATAAGCTTTAAGTATACAGAACAAAGGTTCTTTTCTGGGTAGTTTGGAAATCAAATTTCTTCTGACAACTATGTTTTTGGGGGGTGTTTGCACAATAGGCCAACATTTATCTTCCTGCAGGTAAAAGAAATCTAGGTCAGTTACTTACAGAAGCTATTTAAGAGCAGCCTGAGCTTTTCACAGAGCTTAGACTTCTATGCTAAAGTGCACGCAATGTGGTTTGATGTACATCCTGCCAGTTTTCTTCAGTTAAGAAGAGGCGAAACAAGGAAGTAATGCTTAAAATATTTCTTTAACAGCTTTCAACACACTATTAAAAAGGAAGTTTTTATTATGGGAGGACAGAATGTCTTTCAAGTTATACAGGAGGGTCTCGATGTACAATATATATATATCCGTGAGGGTACGAGGCAAAGAACCGTTGCAAATAGCCAAATTGTGGGTACTTGGGCTGGGGGCAGGGAGAAGCTCAATCACTAGCTAGATTCTTCTCATGATCCTGCTGCAAGGCTAGTTTGAAAGTTGTGGTTAACAACCTTTCAGCTTGGTTTCATCCAAGACCATGTCGGCCAGACCAAATCACGAATAAGCAAATTTTCATATGTTTAATTTGCAGATGTTGAGACAATACTGTACTGATTTAGAGTTGACAGCTGTTTGCATGGATCAAACAGAGTGATAATAAATATTTATTATCACATATATTATATAATAAACATGAGCAATATAAAAAAACTTGCCTTACCAACAGCCTAATAAAGAATACATGAGTGTTTCCATTATTGTAAACACAGAAGAGATTCAGATTCTTCTAAATCCATTTTAAGTTTACTCTGTGATGAGAATTAAATGAATAGTATACGTTCTCAAGCAATTTAAATACCCTATGCAAGCAACTGCATAACAATTGCAATAACAGCTAACTCTTGTCTTCCTTTTTGCATAAAAGCTACAATGTACACAAAAAATAAAAATACTAAAAAATATTAGCAGAACATCAAATATTTAATAAAAACAAATGCCCCTTGCTGCCTTCTTGATCTACATCCCTAATGGGTTCTTAAAAACACCACTGACCCACAATCCAATCTATTAATCAGGGATTGATAGCTCCCTATTCAAAATAAGCACTCAGTTGCTCCACTGTACCAATAGAGAGCTTATGCGAGTCAATAGGTGTTAATTAAATTGATTTAACACTTTATCCTTGTCTTCAGCAGATGCTGATGGGAAGATACTCTTGGATACCCAGCCCCCCGAGGAGCAGCAGGTAGAAAAAGAATAAGCAAAGAATCACAAAAGCACAGGCAGCAGGATGCAGAGTACCAAAAGGGCTAGATTGATGCTGAACAGCCTCCTCTCATTTGGAAAGTAAACTTTTCAATGAATGAAGGGCAATCTTTGATTTATCATCTCTTTGCATACTATGAACACAAGTTTATGTTTTCTGTCCTGTGCCCCTCTTGCTCAGTATTTGTGTTCTGTGCCAACTAAACATAGTGAAGCCATTCCTACCATCGCCTTCCGTTTCCACACACTTCGACTCGGTGAAACGGCTCTGTTTGTTATACTGGGTGTTGAAGACCCGAACCCGGAGGCAGTACACCATCCACGGCTCTAGCTGGGAGAGTATAGCGTAGCTTCTGTTGAGTTGCAGTGTGTGGATCTGTCCAAAAAAAACAAAAAGATCAGACATTGCCCAAGTTTTGAATAACATGCAATTTTATTTGAGTGCTTTGTAACACACCATAAGTTCTGTACAGCAGCATACCCACAACACAACATAAGTAAAAAAGTGGGGAATAATAGTCATGCAAACTGACTTAGTGAAACCAAGCGCAAAACTAAACTTTATATTAAAGAGAGGTTTTAAAGCAAGTGCTGAAAGTGTTGGCAGCCGCAGAATTTCTTATGAATGGGACCTCAGCCTTGCTGAGTAAACGTTGCAAGCAAACTTTCCTAAGATGACCTTGAAAAGACAACACAGAATTGGTAACACAAAGGTAACACAAAGATTTCTAACCAACATCAAAGGTTTGAATTCAGCATAATCAGCAATATTGAAGCCACCAACATTAAAAGTATGAAGTTTTGAAGTATGAAGTATGGGAGTATGAAGAGCATAATCTTGTCTTTTAACAGTTTATTATAAGAAAGGTCTGTTCATTCATATCTTCATATCTGGCAAACACCTGTAAAGCACACAGTCTGAAGCACTACTGTACCTTTGTTCTTAGTGTCATCAGCAGACCAGTGAAACATACTATAGTTTGTCCACATTTAAAACAGCCAACGGGTAACAAATTGGCATCTGCTAGCCAAACCAAAGGGAAGTACAGGTAATTCCCTGATAATTTTCCATGTAACCCTGTAGGATGCCATGCATGACATTTTCAAAAGCTGTTCTTATGTCCATAAACAAAAGAATATTAAATTGCACAATAACATCAGACTATCTCAACTACCATTAATGTCTAACCCCCCAGTTCCTGGATATTTTGCTGGATCTTCAATCTTTTCAATGGAAAAGAGTGGTCGAGCTGCCATTACATAAGGAATGGAAAATGCTGCTCAGCCCCGTCCTGAGAGAATTTGTTAATTTGATGGGTGAAGGATAACAGGAAACCTCAGATTATAAGCAAGAGGTTGTAGGCATCAACTCAGGAAACATCAGCACCTTCACAGTTGAGGCCTTCTTACTCAGTTACCAACGATTTACTCACATAACTAGTTCTTGCACTTACAACTGTAGTTCTTGTAACAGTGCACAAAACGTAAATATAAAATTTTGTCTTTTTTTTTTAACATGCCAAGGAAATGCTACCAATGTGCAAAAACAGCTGTCATTCCTCCTTGCAGTATGTACTTGCTTATTTGATATTACTCATATAGGAACAATAGCCTGTATGCTTCAATTGTAAAGTAATAATAATGTCATGCATAAGCACAATGGTAAGGAGATTTGTTTGAAAGGAGAAGTTTGGGCATTAGATCTACCTTACCTAATACATGTTTAGTTTTATTTGTTAATATTATGCTTTGTATATGAACTAGAAGTATGTGCTGCCTGTTCATATAGATTGAATAGAGAGATTAATTGAACTCATGACCCCAGCCTTTTCAAAAATTTGCCCTGGAGTCAAAAACTATTGAATAAATCACTATATACAGTTGTATGCAAATGTCTGGGCACTCCTGGCCAAATTAAGTTTTGTTGATTTTCTAAGTAAAATGAAGTTAACACAACCTCTGCAGCGTACAAACTTAAACTTGACATATTTCTGGAAATATTAATGCACAGTTGCTGTTTATTTGCTCAATTTAACAGATTGGAAAAAATAAAACATTAAATGTGACATGTGCAAAGGTTTGGGCACCCTTCCAGTTGATCCACTAGTGTTCAATGTTGTGTAAGGTCTCAGAACCTAACTGACTTATTAGGCCTTAATCTAAGTCAGGTGATGACAATTCCAGAGCTTCATAAATTCTGACTCTTCGAACCTCTCACTCAACAACCATGGGTTCCTCTAGGCAGCTGACTGAGGTTGAGAAAATAAAGATAATTGACTCTTACAAAGCAGGGGAAGGCTATAAAAAGATATCTAAATGCTTCCCGATAGCAATGTCCACTGTCCAAAATGTGATTAAGAAATAGAAGTTAAGGGGAACTGTTTAAGTCAAGACAAGATCTGGAAAACCAAGAAAAATCTCAGATATAACTGCTGGTAGACCGGTCAGGAATGCAAAGCAAAACCCTCATATCACTGCAAAGGACATGCTGGAAGGTTTAGCTGGTACAGGAGTCGTGGTGCAATAGTTCACTGTGCAGCATTGCTTGCACAAACATGACTTGCATGGAAGAGTCATCAAAAGGAAACCTTACCTGCGGTCTCATCACAAAAGTCAACGTCTGATGTATGCAACAGAACACTTAGATAAGCCAGAACCGCTTTGGAACCAAGTGCTGTGGTCTGATGAAGTAAAAATTTAACTTTTTGGCTACAATCACCAAAGGTGCATTTAGACAAAAAAAAAAGGAGAAGCATTTGAAGAAAAGAACACCTTGCCAACTGTTAAGCATGGGGGGTGGATCTATTATGCTTTAAGGTTGTGTGGCAGCCAGTAGCACAGGAAATATTGTGTGGGTAGAGGGAAGAATGGATTCTACTAAGTATCAGTAAATCCTGGAACCTAATGTCCCACAGTCAGTGAAGCTGAAGCTGAATAGGTTAGATATTACAACAAGACAATGATCCAAAACATACCTCCAAATCAACCATGAACTACTTCAAGAGACGTAAGATTAAGGTTTTTGCATGGCCTTCACAGTCCTCATACTCTAATATTATTGAAAATCTGTGGGTAGATCTCAAACATGCAGTGCATACAAGACAACCTAAGAATATTTCTGAACTAGAAGTGTTCTGCAAGGAAGAGTGTGGAAAAAAATCCTAAAGCTAGAATAGAAAGACTGTTAGCTGGCTACAAGAAATGTTTGGAGGCTGTGATTTCTGCCAAAGGGGGTGTTACTAAGAACTGACTGATAGTGTGCCCAAACATTTGCACATGCCACCTTTACTATTTTTTTTCCAAATTGTTAAATTCAGCCAATAAATAGAAACTGTTTGTTAAAATTTGCAGAAATATGTCAAGTTTAAGTTTGTGTTGTGGTTGTGTTAACTTAGAAAACCAACAAAACAAGTAATTTGGCCCAAACGTTCGCATATCTGTATATCTCTCAGATGTTTACAGATCTAAAAAAAAGGTAAACGATTAGTGGCAATATCTGGAGTTCTTTTCTCAAAAAAATGGGTAGGGCTTATGTTGCTTGGCAGTTCTTGTGTTTCTACATTAAATACACTGGTATAAGTGAGCAATTCTGTGAATGTATATGCTATATGATAGGTTTATTTTCTTGTTTCAGAGGCTAAAGATGAAGAGGAAATTATATTTTTGTTCATTTACAATCTCAAGATCCAATCCACACTAACACAGACTGCTCAACTATAAGGGATAAATTTAGCTGGTGGTATTTTGAACATACTGAGAATTTGCTCATGCTTCACAGTTTAAATCTGTGTCGGAGGGGAGTGGAGAAATTACTCAAAGACTACACTGTTTGTGGAAAAATTACATTGCGTTACAAAAGAATATCTCTTTCAGCATGGTTAAGTCAATCATTAAGAAGTGGAAGGCAACTAGACTAGACGAGATCAGAGTGTTCTTCCAAAATTATCAGCCGGGCAAGGAGGACACTGGTCAAGTTTGCAGCCGTGAGGCCAACAGTGGCTTTGAAAGAGTTAAGGTAAAGAGGCTGAGATGGGAAAAAATGTGTATGGGCCAACAATTTATTGGTACCTCCAGAAAGGGGGCTTGTACAGAACTGAAAAAGATCTCACATCCTGCATTAGATTTAAAACAAAACACATTGCAAACATGTGGCAAAAAGTGTTATAGCTAGACAAGACAGAAGCTGAACATTGTGGTCAAAATGCAAATGCAAACCCAGCATTTTTCAGCAGTCAGTCAACAACATCCCTACTGTGAATCATGGTGATGACAGCATTATGTTACAGTTCTGCTTGTCATCAGTAGAGACTGGAATGCTTGTCATTGATAGCAAAATACCAGGAAATATTTGAGGAGACTCTACATCACACCTTTTACAACAGATTTTGTTGACATTTATTGTATCTTATAAGTTTTACAAGTCTTCAGTATGAGTTTTATTCATGTTTTAAATAAATTATTAAGTTAAAAATATATGCATGCATATTTTTTTTAATTTTTAAAGGGCAATGGCTTGAATACTTTTGCGATTTACAGTATATAGCACACTTGGAGGAATGGTATAGGATACACAGGTTTAGCTGGGCAGTGGTGTTCTGAAACTCACCTGTGCTGGGGACAACCTTTTCCAGTACTCCAACCAATAATGAAGACTTATTATGTTGCTCATTGACTTGTCCAAGGTCAGTGGGTGAGTAATGTTCACAATCAGCATCGTGTTCCTGCTTTGGACACCAAAAGCAGAAGGTGGACCCAGTTCAGCTGAAATGCACAAAGATTTCAGAGGGTAATGAGCCACAGAGTTTATTAAATAAAATGCATTCAGATGCACCAAAACATTAAGCATAAAGGCTAATTCATAATTTAAAAAATTCAGTTTAAAACATATACATTTAAATACATTTCCTAAAAAGGTTATTGATCTAACTTCACATTCTTACAACATTGTTGAACATGTTTTATTTGAGTAGCTGTTCTTCAGTACCAAACCTAAATCTATGTAGTAAATCTAATCTGAACTTTTTTTTATACCATTTTCACTCGTAACTTTAGTTGGACAGGCTCAGTTCACACATTTTTGTAATTCAAGTTCAAGTTTGTCATTCCAGCCATATACAAGTGTACAAAGGAGCTAGATATCATTTTACAGGTCAACGAATGCAGACAAGGCACTGACAAGACAATGCTATATATGTAGACATAGACATTTCTGACAGGGTACATAAAGTGCAATGTGCATAGTGCAATTTACTTTATAGGATTGTAAAAAAGAATACATCAGACAGTGTGCCTGACATTAGGCAAAAATGTTTCCAGATTTGGAGTAGGTACAGTAGGTACCAGGATCTTGTTGAGGATCCTGAGAGCCTGTGGGAAAAAAAAACTTTTACAGAGTCTGGTGGAGCTGGCCCGTATACTGCAATACCTTTTACCAGATCGTAGGAGGGCAAAGAAGTAGTAGGAAGGGTGGGAGGGATCATCCACAGCATTTTATTAAAATTAACACCAAACAAGTGTTTGATTTGCAAATGGTATATTCTGGCAATGGTAGATTGAATACATTCCTATTTCTAAATTTGACTTGCACCACCTCATACACTTACAGGTCATCAGGGTCTTGAACTGAAGGTTACTGCATTTCTAGCAACACAAATGAAGCATAAGTGTTCATTAAGGGCACCATGAGGCCTTTCATTTTGAAAACTGCTTTTCCAGATCTGGCCCTTGTCACCACTCTACTAGAGCAGGAGGGATCTTCTCCCTCCTGTGTCTAACTATGCTTTTACATACAAATGTAGATTAACGTCATTAATTTAAATTCCAAAGTACTTCCTAATCTGGGGTCTGAGGTCAGGCCCGATCGCTAATGCAATTAAAGAGGAATCCTTTTGGGTTTTCAAAAATATTTATATAAGACAAAATATTTTCCCAGTATGATTCTCAGGACATTCCGCTTACATACTGTTGTATCCCGCCGATTCACCTGATCGTTTTCAGCAATGGTTATTTTCCTTCAAGTTAGCTTTAAATGGTCTATTCAGTGAACCACGTAGCTCATTTTAGCTTCTCTATGTGCAGTGCTTCCAAATCTTCTTCCATCAGTATTCAAGTTCAACACCAAAGATGAAGATGTCAGTGCAATTGTTCTGTCCCTTTGTTCAAGTACCCATAAACTCTAAATGCTTTTTAATAGAATTATTGTGCAAGACATCCTCCAGATCGTAAGAAAACAGCATCTAATGATGAGCATTCCTTGTTGATTCCAATGCAAGGACAATTTGTACTATCCTGAAATAATTGTCAGTGAACGCTAGGGTTACCTCCAGAAACTCTCCCCTGGGTTGATTAATTTACCTTCTTTATAAGTCTGAAATTTTACATCATCCTGGTTGAATTCAATCTTTCCATGACACGGGTCTCTTATTAAAAAGAATTAATGGTTTTATTCCTTAGTGAAGCTTGGAGCAAATTAATTAATTTAATGTCATAATTTCTTTTCAATATATCTAAGCACGTTGCAGGAGGCTGACATTGTTGAATGGACCTTCAGGTGAGAAGGAAGATCAGCTCAGATTTAATCCATAAGCAGGCTGGGTCGTCAGTGCGACTGCAAAACCAGAAGATTGTCTGTCTTGTAAAAGAACATATTAGCTGATCATAACACAGGAAAGAGGAAAGAGGAGAGAGGAGAGGAGAGAGGAAAGAGGAAAGGAAGAACAGACCTCAGCAGTCATCATCAACTCCAGAACTGTGCCCTGGGAGGGTACCTTTTTCTAACCAGACTGGAATATTAATTGTGTCCAGGTAATCTAAGCACTATCTGATAAAATGACTCTAAACTGGCATTATTAGAAGAGAGCTTGAGGTCTTATTTATTTTAGTAAAATCTGTTTTTCTATATAGTGGAATTTTTGGCCAAAAAGTGTCTCCTATTTTAGTTATGTGTTGTTACCATAGGGAAATTGGTTCCTGATTGGACAACCGTGACTTGGAGGGAGATTTAGTCCTAGGTAGGATCCATTTTTATTAGGACACAAATTGTTTGGGGTTTTTTGTGTCTTTAGTTTAAGGGGACACAATTCTGGAATATCATAAGTACAAAGTTAGTAGGATTCTGAAGCCCAATGATTACATATGTATGTGTATTATCTATTCCTTAACTGAGCAAATTCTTGTTAAACAAACTGTGTTTTGTCTGATTATTATTCTATCAACCTGTGCCAGAGAATACACACATACTGCATATAACATGACGTTAGGGGGTGAATTTATTTTTATTTTTTTATATCAAGATGGTTTCAGAATCTGATTTTTATGTTGTTTTAATAACCTTCCTATTTTATAATTATCACACCCCCCTTTTATAGCAGGACAGAAAACTCAAATGCATCCATAGGTCTACTATCTCAATTAAGAGTGTGTGTAGAATCACATGCATAAAACATCTGCAAATGATTAGCTGATCATCAGGAGGTGATTCCACCTGTATGTAGAATCAGAAACTTTGTCAATTTGGTCTTAAGTACCCACGTTTGTGGTAACTCATAAGTATCTGAACTGCTACAGGTACTGAGATTTATTAGATAATGTTTAATATTTGCTTGAATTATTGAATATCTATTTTCTATAAAACATATCACTCTGATGATGTTAAGGATCAAATATTTTCTTCAGTCTGTTTGCAAACAACCTTTAAATTACCTTGAAGCAATGCATCAGGGGAAATTACAGCATTATATTACATTACATTGCCCTTCTAAGAGTTAGTGATGTTTCAAACATTATCCCATTCATAACAATCTTATCAAAAATGTTTTTGTTCCTTTTCAGTAAGACGGGAAAAGATTCTGGAAAAGTCCACTGGGATGACTCTGTTAACGGCTTAAAGAATTTTAAATACTTTGAATCCCCTTATAGTCTATTCTCCTGTGTTCACAACTTAAAGAGTGCTTTTCCTTTATTCTGTCAGTGTAGGCATTTCTTTAACCCCCGAGAATCCATCTGGTTGCTCTTTTCTGAACTGATATGTTTTCTATAATGTGGTGATCAAAATTGTACATAGTATTTTAAACAAAGCTTTACTATTGCATTTAACAATTTTAACATAACATCCTTTGATTTAAATTTTACACTTTTGATTATATAACCGAAATTTTCTTTGCTTATCCACAATGTCTAGATGTAACTGACTTCTAAACATCTAAATCTTTCTCATAAGTAGCCTCTTCTGTGTTTCAGGCTTTTATCCACCTGCTTACAAAACCCAGTCCTTATCTACAATTAAATGCCATCTACCAGGTGTTTGTCCAGTCTTTAATTTGATCTAAAGCTTTTTTTTAATTTGATGCTACAATATTTGTTAATCCTCCTTAATCCTCAGTAAATCTAGATTTCTGAATCTCATTAGGAATCATTAGGAAGAGCAGTGGTCCGAGCACAGATCACTGTGGAACTCCTTTAATTATATCACCCCCAGTAAAAGTATTTACATAATATCTGTACACTCTGTTTTCTATTCATTAACTCTCAATCCAAACACATGCATTTACTTAAATGACTGCTGCCTGTCATGTCAGATTTATATTTGTACCAATACCAAAAAAATCAGCGCCCACATGCCTGAATGACTACCACCCTATTGCACTCACCCCCATCATAATGAAGTGCTTTGAAAAACTACTAACCCCACAAATTAAAGCCAGCATTCCAGAAACACTTGATCCTCTCCAGTCTGCCTATCGCACAAACTGCTCCAGGGAGGATGTGGCTTTACACACCACACTAACCCACCTGGATAAAAGGAACACCTATACAAGAATGCTATTCATTTACTTTAGCTCAGCATTTAACACCACCATACCCATAAAACTTTCTACCAAACTCAGGGCTCTAGGTTTAGATACCACCCTCTGTAGCTGGCTCCTAAACTTCCTCACCAGCAGACCCCAGACTGTCAGGATTGGCAACCTCACCTCCAACATGCTCACCCTTAACACTTAACCCTTAACTTGAGGTGCCCCTCAAGGCTGTGTGCTCAGCCCACTGCTTTACTCCCTGTTCACCCACGACTGTACTGCCAAGTTCAGCACAAACACCATCATCAAGTATGCCGACGATACCACAGTCGTGGGCCTGATCACTGACAATGATGAGACTGCCAACAGGGAGGAGATAAAACAACTCGCAGACCGGTGCCGAACCAACAACCTATGTCTCAACATCAGCAAAACCAAAGAGCTGATCGTTGACTTCAGGAGACAAGAAAAAGTCCACTCCCCCATCTACATTGAAGGGTCTGTGGTGGAGATGGTGAATAACTTCAAATTCCTAGGTGTTCACATCTTTAAGGACCTCACACCTCCAGTCTCATCAAGAAGGCACAACAGCGGCTGTACTTCCTGAGAAGGCTGAAGAAAATACGCCTGCATCCACAGATCCTCACCAACTTCTACAGATGTATGGTGGAGAGCATACTGACCAGCTGCATCACAGTCTGGTACGGCAAATGCACCGCATCCGACCGTAAGGCACTGCAGCGGGTGGTCAAAACTGCCCAACACATCATCGGCAGTGCCTTACCATCCATCCAGGAAATCTACAACACCAGAAGTCTGAAAAAAGCCACCAAAATTATGTCTGACCCCACTCACACCAGTCATAACCTGTCCCCCTACCATCTGGCAGAAGGTTCTGGACGCTCCAGTTGCACACAACTAGACTAAAAAGCTTCTTCCCCAGAGCTGTCAAGCTGGTAACGCCACCACTCCCTCCCATCATACTATGATCTCTCCTCACTTCTTCCTGTACCCACAACGACTGTACTCCTACACCTCTATATACACGACAACTGAATGAAAGCCGAAATTGTACTTAAAACTGTACTTGTTGTAATATTTATTAATCACCGTATTATTTTTGCAATGTTCCCCGAATTACTTTTGCACTGTTGTATTATTTTCTCTGTTTGCGTATTTGCACAGTTTTGATTACACTGTTATTGTTATTGTGTTACTGTCTATTGTCTTGTCTTTTGCTCTATTTATATACCGCACCTGAGTGACTAATGAGAAACACTTTTCACTATACTATGCAACCGTGTAAGTATAATAACAAATAAAGTTTAATTGAATTAAACTCGAGAAAAGCTGTCTTAAAAAAAGTATCTCAATCTAAATTCATATCATATGCACTATGTTTCAATTACTGTTTTACTTACTCTTAGGTTTTATTTTCATACAAGTGATCCTCTAATCTAGTTCTAAAAATTGTTTCCACAACATTACATGAAATATTTTTTTCAGACTTACTGATCATTGATATCTGGCTTCAGTTTTGTCACCATTCTGGATGTACATTACATTAGCATTGTCCAGCCCAGAGGAACTAACAATGTCCTGAGCAACTGCTGGAAGAGTTGCTTATGAATAACATCTCATTTCCTTGAGCTGGTAAACCACAAGCCCGTGCAGATTTATTTACCTCGAGTGTTATGAAGCTTGGTGTTAACTTCTTCCTTTTTGAACACCTAAGTCAAATTGTAGTACATCAGATTTGTTAAACTATTTGTGATACTTTATCTAGCTTTTTCTTTACTCACTCTATATAAATGTGTTCGATTTGTTCCCATCCATCCTAATCTATACCACTCTATTTATTACCATCTGTCATATTCTTTCACAACCTGATTTCCTGAAATTGTAAACCTTAGATCTGGACTCAATCTGTAAAGGAGAAAAATGTTTGGTATATATGATAAAGCCCATATAAAGATTACTTAAATGTACTTTTCTTTTGGCTGACACCCACAAATGCATTAAGAATTCGGGAATTGTATGTGAAACTGGTAAGGATTCACTACATCTTTCCTTACACCTACATTATCAGTGTTTTTAGGATATCTGCTGAAAAAAAGTCTTGTTGAATTTACAGACGTTTTATAAGATGGCCTTACCGTTTTCATCAGGACAGAATTGCAATTCCTGCCATGGGGATACCTCATCTATCCCCTCTGTCCTCACACGCACATAGTACATCAGATTGTAATCAAAATAGTGGGAGAAGTCACACTGGGTTTCAACAATTCTGTAGCAATCATTTTTGTAGATTTTGGATTTTCGCCTGTCACCACTGTAACAAAACAATATTGTAAAAAAAGGTGAGAACTGTAGAATCCAAATGTCTTCACCCCACAACAAAAACCTACAACCTGCAATAGCTGCTACAACTGGATTATTTAGATTTTTTTTGCCAGTGGAATAACTAAACATGCATAATTGTTTATTACAATTTATTAAATTTATACAGTTTATTCAAGGCTGAGAAATATAAATCAATAGGGCTCTATCTATGTCATGCATTAAAAAGACACAATTATCATTTCAAAAATGGTGCAATATTTACAGAATCTGCGGGTGGTATCAATGAGGTAATTTGTTGTAAATCTTTTTTCCCCCTCCAATTTAAATGTTTCTGAAATGACCAAAAACATGACCACATTCCCTGGGAAACCATGGTCTTCATTCTACTGAAGGTGTTTTCAGCAGTAGTTAACACAGATAACATAAAAACATTCACATAAAACTGAGCTTTGTCCTCAGCTCTTCTAAGTCTTATATGATGAGATGATGAGCACATTGTGCTTCATGCTTAAGATCTCAGTGGTTATGAATGTGATTTTGAATACCACTGAAAAACAGACAGTGTCTCCTCAGAAGATCTCGAAGAAGGTATCTTACGCACAAGAGGTACTCTGCTGTAAAATTCACAGTGTAGTTCAATAGTCTGTGGTCCCAGTCCCACTTCAGTATGTACTGCATGTTCACAGCCTCCATTCTGACATTCTGTGGTGCTTGCAGCTCCCCTATAACTAGATAAATGCATACAATTTACTTGCAACTTTGAATATCTGTAAACAACAAATAAAAAACATACATATTATTATTAACAGAGACAACCAATATTTAAATGTTATGAAAGGTTATTAAAAAACATATTAAAAATAGTGTACACCACGGGTTTACAATGAAGTATAACATCTATATGAAATTATATATTTGAAACATTTTTTCACATTGTGTGGAGTTTTCATAATCTCCCTGTTTGCATGGGTTTTGAGTAGGTACTCCAGTTTTCCGCCACCACCCAAAGACATAGCATTTAATTTGCTGTGCCACGTTGTTCTTTCCATAAAGGGCAAGAGTTCTCCCTAAACACCCCCTGTCTAGTGTTTCACTGTTACAGTGCTAACCCCCACACAACTGAGATAAGATCCAGGTGAGAAAGACAGCAGCACACAAGCACTATAAAAACCAAAGCATGGTGCTTAAGGTATCCTGTGCTATTAAAGACATATTTCCCATGTATACATTACAAATTTTGATTGATATGCATTTTATTATTTTCATTTATTCTGAAAAAATGCTAGAACTTTATTTTATATTTAAAATAAGTCAATACTATTCAAGCTGGCCATTCTATGAAACTGTGTATTACTGCATGCTTACCTTCCATTTGTATATTTCATGTTATTAGTTAAGTTAATAACATTTTACGTAAGGAGTAACTTTTATAGTGAAAAACTTTTTAGTTTTAATATAATAAAATACAGAACTAGTAGGAAAAATACTTTTTCAGAATCAAAATCATACAGAATTAGTAACAATATAGTGTAATAAATGGTATAAGAAAAATATATCCTTTGCTGTTCACAAACTTGAATTTCATAATTTCAATGTAGCAAAGTACAGTACCTGTTTTTTGTTGTATGAAGCCTTTTTTTGCTACAACGATTAAGTAGTGAAAGTTTCTTAAAGTCAAGAAAAATAAGCAAATAAAGGATGGAAAGAATTTACAAAAAGGTTTTACACATTTTATCTTGTTAACTATTGTCCTATAGGGTACATGGACTAATTATCCATCACACAGAAGTGTGTCTATTGGTTATTCATGTAACAGTATTTTAGGGGTATTCTCTAGACCTCATGAATGACTTGTAAGCTTTTCGTGTAAAGGAGTGGGAATTTGTTGGTTGTATTATAAAATTTCAGATTATGAATAGTTTTCAATAGTTTCAAGGGACGGATATATGATGCTCAAATAGCTCAGTGAAGTTGCCCCTTACAAACAGAATAAACAATGAAACCTACCACATATGTTAGTGCTCCATTTATACTATTGAAAGTAGCATCCAATCTGCTTTCTTTACCAAGATATAGTGATTTATTTTTCTGTTAATCACATGACTATGTACAAGGAACTTGACCAGTAGTAACAAAGTCTGGAGAGTTCACGCACTGAATACTGGATGAGAAGATAACTGCAACTGCGGTTTGCTTTCTCAGTCTGTCAGGTGGGGGGCAATATCAGTATTTTCTGTGTTTGTGTGAACAGTAAATATGAACAGCAAAATTAAATCAGTCTCCAATATCATACTGTAACCACAAGCGTTGCTATTTTAGTCTTAAAAAGGGAACATTAGCGAAGTTACAAGCCGTCTTTCAAGCTACGTAGTTAAAAGGTTAGAATGAGCAACTTCCTGCATTAAAAGACCAGTGCTGTACTCTTTAATGCACAGCAAATACATAAACATGGTAAAGTACCAGGAAATTTAATTATATGTTTTATTACAGGAACTATTAGTTAGTTGTACAGCAGAAACTGTAGTAATCAATCATCATGCCTTCTCATCGTAGTGGTGAAAGCTGGTACGCAGTTAAATTTATATAATAACCTGCATTAGTAAAGTAATATTTTCTTAATTTGTCATCTCATCAACCCAGGACTCAAAATTCTTGAACATGACAAATCCTTTGTTATACAACTAAGCCAGCTTGAGTTTTGTTCTCTACCACATTGCAATAAAGGAGGACACAAAGAAACAGAAACACTGAACAAAATTCAGCAAAAATTACCCAAGCACAATGTCACATACAAACTGTTATTGATTCTAGTCAACCAAAATGAAGAAAATAATTCCAAACCACTATAAAAACATTCCAGATGCTAAAAATAATCAACACATTTAATCGATGCATAACAAAATGTGCATTGTTGTGCACTGATTAAATAGTTTATTTAGGGGGCTAAACTAGCAGACAGAAAAGGTCAATAAGATATTATATTACTATTCTAACTGTAAATACTGTGTTTAAAAAAAACTAAAGAACCTTTTCCTTAACAAAAATAAGTCATAATGAAATCCAGGGAAGAAAAATGGGTGTACTTCTGTACACAAAAATGTCATTATGAAAATGAAAGATCTAAAACAGGAAACCTCAAGATTTTTGTGCTTAAGGTTTGTTAGAAACCTGCTTTATTCTCCAGAAGAGCTCTTTATTTTAAAAGGTTAAAGGGCTTATTCTCATTATGCTTTACCACCTTTCTTTTCAACACATGATGATTGAAAAAAGAAGACAATGAATGAATGAAACAACAGTGAATAAGCACAAAAAAAATAAAAAATGCTAAAATAAAATACCACTCACAGTAACGCAAGTCTAGGTGGCAAGGGCATGACAAAGATATATCATTTATGCAGAGCAGGGGCTCCCGGAAATAATCCTGTTCATTCCTTACTCTCCATGGCCAATTCAGTGTCTCTATACTCCTTCCTGCAGTTCAAAAATACCCCCACTTCCAAGAGTAGTTCAGCAAATAAAACTGGATGAAACGGATCCAGTTACACTTCAGACTCCTGGAAGAGGGAAGCTCGCAAACTCGGGAACTGATACCAATTGCACACACTAGTTAACCTAACTGAAATATTTTAGACGCAAATTACAAATTTGTCTCAAAGACTTTAAATCAGTTAGGGTGTGACTCAGACCTTGGCTGTAACAAAACCTACAAATGACATTAATCTGTCATTCCGACCACGGGGAGAAATGCCATTTTAAGATTGTTAAATGCGTCGGAGGTCTTTTTTGTGAGGAAGTTCACGCCTCAAATCACGTCACGTCAAATCAATAACATTTCAATATTATACTACGATCGCAAAAGTGGCTGCATAAGGTACCATAGACAGTATGAAACCTAAAACCGAATGAATGATGGCGTTAAAATTAAGACTTTCTGAAATAACTGGAATTTGTCTAGATAACCGTTTTCTAGCAAACTGCCGCATACTGACTAATACAGTACATGCCTTTTCTGTTAAAAATATAAGATTGTGCTGCAAAACGCCATTTGAAATTCCTTTGTTGCATTTTTGTCCCAGAAGGGGTGGATACTCTCCTATCAGACCTCCCTGCGTGAACGTTTATCGGAAAGCTTAACTGATCTTGACAATTTTGCAAGTCTTACCTGAATAAAGAAGTTGACCCACAAGCAAAATCGCCAACATAGTCTACATTTCGGTCTTGTGCTTCACAAAGCCATTGCACACAGCTACTCCTACCACAACCCACGTACACGAACTCACACGCTTGGTTTACAGGAAAGCAACAGGAAGCGTGTAATGCAGGCAAGGGACCGTCGTCAATTTTTTTGGTTTTTGATATTTGCTTCCATTGTGATTCGTAACGAGGCATATCCTCCATCCATTTTCTAATCGCTTCATCCAATCCATGTCGCGGGGGAGACAGAGCCTAACCTGGCGAGGATGCCAGTCCATTACCCAGCACATAGACACAGACGCGCACACACTAACATCAGGACTAATTCCCAGCAGCCTCTTCAGCCTCTGCCAGTATGTCTGGACTTCCACCAAGAAGAAACCCACGCGAACAAGGGGGGAACATGCAAACTCCACACGGCGTTTATTAATATATTGTGACGAATCGGCCCAAACCCGGTTCGGCAGGGAGACCACCGTCAGAGAATAGGCAGGAGCCAGGTTTGCAGCTCACAAAGTGTTTATTGTCCCTTTTCTTACAGAGAAAGGAGCTAGATAGATAAGGAAGAGACTGCAGGAAATCCAGTGCAAAGAGGGCACTCACTTTAACTGTACATAAAGCTGACAGATTCAAGAAGACGATCTATTTAAATACGTACACAATTGAGAATAGTGGCTGGGAGTTCCCAATACTTGATAGTAGTCAACCCAGTGGAGTCTTCTTAGGTGAGTTTGCTGATTTTCTCTCATTCTTATCCCTTACATTTAAAAGGATCCTTATTCTAGGGGACTTTAATATACACATTGATTCAACTTCCTCCAGTCTGGCTAAAGACTTCCTTTCTCTTTTGGGATGCTTTGACCTTGCTCAGTTTGTTTGTACCCCTAC